AGAGATGGTAACAGACCGTGAGTGGTGGTTCCTGCTCACTTTTTGACATTTTTTTTTTTTTACTAAATGACCGATTTTTGCTAATTGAGCTCCTTCTTTTCCGCCCAATCGTATCTTTTATTTGTGAGAATGCCTATTGGCAAATAAGGAGTCAAAATGGTCAGCTCCTTTGGCACTATGCAGCTATAACTTTTGGTGTTCCAATCCTTTCAACTTTTTAAGTTATTGAACTTTTTGTGCTTTTATTTTCTCTCATTGAAATGAATGAGTCAGAAGCATGGCTCCATCTGCTGGTCACTCATAGTTCAGACCCTTCAACTTTTTGTTTGTGGTATAACTTAGTGGTAGAGCGTTTAACTGCTAATCCAGAGGTTGCTAGTTCAAATCCCACTCAAATATTCTTGTACCTTATTGATCGCTTAATGGCTTTTTACTCTTCTAATTCTTTTGCCTTTCTTTTTCCACTCTTCAGTTCTACAGTGGGGGAAATGAGTATTTGACCCCTTGCTGATTTTGCAGGTTTGCCCACTTACAAAGAATGCTTATTTTTCCTCATCAGATGGTTATCAATTTTTATAAATTTATATGATGGAATTTTCTGGAATTTTCTTTGGGATTCTGTCTTTCACTGTTAGAATGTACATATGATTAAAGTTATAGATCGTTGCATTCTTTGTAAATGGGCAAACCTGCAATATCAGCAAGGGGTCAAATACTTATTTCCCCCACTGTATGTCTTTTTCAGTTTTTCTTTGGCTTGTTCTTCTTCTTCCATTTAGCACTCAGTTTTTTCATTTCTAGTTTTAGCCGTTTTCTCCCTTCCTTTCATTTCATGGCCCAGTTTTATTTATCTTATTGTCACCCTCCACATAGAGCACATCCTACTAGTCCTGTCTTGGCTGGCCCGATGTTTAATCTGATGTCAAACCCACGAATCTGTTTTTTTTTTTTCCCCTGCAGCCATCGACATGCAGGACGTGACGGCGGAGGTTTCCTCGCCCTCCGGCGCCGTGCGGCCCGCCGAGCTGGTCGCCGCCGGCAACGACGCCTACTGCGTGCGGTTCGTTCCCACGGAGACGGGCACGCACAGCGTCAGCGTGCGCTACAGGGGCGTGCACGTGCCGGGCAGCCCCTTCCAGTTCACCGTGGGGCCCCTGGGGGAGGGCGGCGCCGCCAAAGTGAGGGCCGGCGGCCCGGGGCTGGAGGGAGCCCTCGCCGGAGAGCCAGGTACAGAATATCAGCCCGTCTGAGAGTCTGAGGGACGATCTATACAAATTATTATTATTATTTTTTTCTTTTTTTTTTTTTTTCAAACTTTGTTTATTGAACATTTTAAACTTAGGACAGACATTGTTGGAACAAGTAAAACGTCAATACAAACTCAATGTCACGGTCTGTCAACCCCCAAACCCCCTGACCACCCACCCCACCCACAGGCCAAAAAATAAATCAATAGACAAATGGATTAGAAAATAAAAAGTAAAAATAAGTAAATAAATAAAAGTATAAATAAGAATTATAAAGAAAGGGGGGGAAACATGAATGTATATGTAAATAGATAATTAGAGAACATGTAAGACATTCAATTGTCGTCAGGGTCAAGAAGACTCAAGGAGTAAAAATATCTACAGAAAGGGTCCCATGTAGCTTGAAATGGCTTGGTGGAGCCTCTGAGAGAAAACCTCAGTTTTTCTATTTTGAGATTGTAAAGCACCTCTCGAATCCAGCGGGCATGTGAAGGGGGTTGAGGGTCCTTCCAGTTAAGTAGGATCAACCTACGAGCTAAAAGCGTGGTAAATGCTATTGCCCGCTTCATTCCTTTAGGCAGGTTAGAAGTAGGGGGGATGCCAAAGATTGCAGACAGTGGATTGGGGACAACCAGAGAACCATATGCTTGGGACAGTGAGTCAAAAATCCCTCTCCAGAATGGTTTCAACTCAGGACATGACCAAAACATGTGTGAGTGATTGGCAGGCGAGAGTTTACATCTGCCACAAGCATCATTTACAGAGGGATAAATTTTTGCTAGTCGTGAGTTAGTGTAATGAGCCCTGTAAACAACTTTGCATTGAATAAGTCTATGGCGGGCACAGATAGAAGATGAGTGAACTAAAGACAGTGCAGATGTCCA